TTGGTGAAGTGGTCCTTGGACAACATGGAATGGGTAGGGTCAGTGCTACGGTCATCGTCAAAGACGACGTGCTGCTCCTTCTCACTGCTCTCAATAATCTCAGCGGAACCAGTGCGCAGCTCGTTGCGGATCTGGCTGATGACGGGAATAATGAAGGGGGCGATGACCGAGAAGACAAACTTGGACAGCTGCTCCTCAAGCTGCTCAAGAATCTTGGGCAGAACGGGAATCTTCTCAATGGCCTCAGAGATACCCTGCAAGATCTCGTCGTGGAACTCGATGGCAGGCATGATCTGCTTGAAGACATCCTGGATGTACCGGGTGTACTCCTCAGGCTCCCTGGGAGAGACCTGCATGTTCTGGAGCTGCGAAGAGGTCGCGTTGCTCTGAAGCTCGTCCACCCGGTTGCTCTGGTGCTTACCGCCAAAGATACCATCGGGAATCATGTCCAGAAGGTTACGCAGAATGCTGGTATCGTTGTTCTTGCTCTCCTGAAGAGTACCCTCGAGCTCCTCAATCTCGTTCTGGGTCAGCTTGTCGGAGACTGGTCTTGTTAGCTGCGATCTTGTGTTGAGCATTTCAAGAATATGTACCTTCGCCAGTGACGGAGTGAAGGAAGTCAACACCTCCAAAGGTGCCGGTGACAATGGGGTAAACATCGCCTCTAGCTCCGTTCAGCTGGATCCGAGTGTCACGGCCGACGTGGGGGAAGACATCGCGCTCGCCAAGCTCAATCAGGGCAAGCTCGCAGTAGTTGCTGTGGGCGAAGAAATCTGTACCACGCTTCGTTAGCGATATTCTCTCATGGTTTCATGTATCATGTGATCGAGCAACCTACCCTCCAAGCAGTGAAGACCAGTACCCATGAGGCGCATGGCCTCGTAGAGATCAGCCTCATTCTTATTGCGGGAGTATCCGCGGGCCAGCTCGATGCAGCGGGAAAACAAGTTGCGAACGTGGGCGGCAGAAGTCATGATTCCAGCCTGCTCGTTCGCAATGTAGTTCTTCATGCCGGACTCGCGGTCAATGCCAAGCTCGACGTTCTCATCGACGGGGCCTCTCAGACGGCGGTCGTACTGGCGGGCATCCACGTTGTCGGCATAGTTCTTGGGGTTGTCGATGTGGTCTTCGGGGCGGTAGCAGCCAAGACGGTCGGCCGTGACCTCGAACTCCTTGGATCCGTAGCCAAAGGTCAAGAAGCCCAGGACACAGAGAAGGAGACGAATGGCCTCGGCGGAGACGGACTTGACGGTTCCGACATCGATGGCCTGGGAGTAATCTCTGAGCCAGTTGCCAAAGTAGACACGGGAAACCATCATCTTGCTGAACTTCTTGCCGCCGATGGCACGGGCCATAGCAAGGGTAAGGAGGGCATCTTCAATATCGCCGTGGCGCCCTGTGTGACAGAAGAGTTAGCGGATCTGCTCTCCCCATCAGACAATGGCGGGTGGGAGGGAAGGAGCTCACAGTTCTGGCCCTCGATCTTGGAAATGCTGGCAATGTTACCAGCTCCGAAGGCGTAGGTTGGCTGGGCAAGGCAGACCAGCACAAGCAGGCCGACCAGCAGCGGGTAGGACCTGGCGTCGAGCATGTTGATTGACTTGTACCTCTCGTGCTGCTCTTCTCTCTCCTCTTCTGATACTTAGTAGTGTTTATCTGTTGTAAGTCTGTAGAGACTGTTTAGTGACTTGGTCAAGGTGAAGTGGGGTTTGCGCAGAAGCAAAACAAAGTTATGATGACGGGAGGGAGGGGGAGGTCATTGAAATAAGGAGGAGAGATATGACACAAGCAAGGGGCAGTAAAGAAAAGGAGGGGCCTTTGATGAGGGCTGGAGGCGGTGGAGGGGCAACACGACGGCGTAACTGCGTTCTTCCAAGCTTCGGGAGCATGGGGGAGGGGGACTGGAACAGGAACTTGATGGAGCTATCAGAAGCCAGGAACAGGAGGCGGCTCGAGTGAAGAGGAGGGCGCCGACAGACAATCTTGGAATCGAGACCAAGCACCATACTCCGTACACACGTCTGTGAACGCTGTGTGACGGTCTCGCCATCCAATCTTGACCAGCCCAGCCCAATCCGCCGCCATCTGAGGCTTCCAACTTGTCACTGCCCCTCCTTCACGCGCACACACGTTCCTCCCACCTTGGTTCCCGTCCTCTGTTCGCAGCGTGTTTTGCGGTGGTTTGTGGTCCAAGCCCCCAGGTGCCATGGCATCATACTACTGCGCGATAGCTGCTGCCAAGAGCTTCCCCCACCAATGCCAGTGGGCGGTGATGGAGGGGCTTGCGGATGCCGATTGGGAGCTCGAATCAGAGACAGGGGGACGGTTGCCAGTAGCGCCATGGGTTGGGAGTTGGGAAGATGGTTTGAGGTACTTGGAGACTGGGTAGCGAACACGTACAAGAGTGAAGTATCGGTAACGGGAGAAAGCCAGGTCGGATGGGGCAGGGGTCTGCATCAAGCTCAACGCAGCTGTGTGGATTCGATTCGGCAAGGTAAGGTAGTTGGGTAGCTTGATCGCCGGTCCTTTCGGGAGGCCTGGTTCACGGTGGTGCTAACTGTCCGACGTGCGGGTGCGGGTGTGGGCGCGCGTCAGGCAAGACCTTGGCCAGCTGAAAATAAACCTGCGGCGACGATGGAGGACGTGGTTGCCTTTTTGGCTGGTGATATGGACTATCCGATGTTTCTGTCAATGTTGGGTTTGGTCGAGTATCCGAATTGGAAGGAAAAAGAGTAAAAGGTCGGACGTCTGCAACAAAAGTGCAATGAATCATGACGCAGCCTTCACCGACAAGAAGTTTGCTTCCTGAGGTACCCGGTATTGAGGGCAGTCGTTGCTTGGGCAGGTGCAGATAACGATGAATGAAGTGGGAATTGGAAGCTGCGGCCTTGTCCAGATCCTTGGCAGCGATGTGAGAGGGGATCTATACGTACGAATATGAGTACGAATACACATCACTTTCTACGGAAAGTTCCCAACTCTTCATTGCTAACGTGAATACGAATGCTTAACATTGCAAGATCACACTCACACTGGCATACCCTAATCAGATGGGGCGCCGGGTAGGCAATCAGGCTGACACCTCTGGCCGGCGCTCAGAAGGCAAGGAACCAAGCAAGAAACTCATGCGAACTCGATGCACTGAGAATATTCGCAGGCATCTCAAGACTTGAGAACTGCTGGAATGCTTCACTGCTCCGCTACACTCTCCTCCACTATTCCACGTCGCCTTTTGGCACCTGGGTGGAGGCTCCTCACCGGGGCCGATCCGCTGCCAATGGAAATCGGCGACTGGGCTGGGCTGCCTCCGGCCGCGACTTTCTTCCTCTGTCAGACCTTAGACGCCAGTCGTCACCTCAAGTTTCGATGGGGAGGCCGGGAGGGGGGAGACCCTCGTTTCAAAACGGGATGAGACGGTTGGCGGTCAGGCCGGTTTCTGGCGGCGGGGTCGGGGGCCATGAGGGATGAGAGAACTATTGGGAACTCTTCCATGTGTCACGGAGAGGAGACTTGGAGAGGAGAGGGGGGGCATCTTTTTTGGTGCGGGGCTGAGCTCAGCTTTCCAGTGTGGAACGGCCGCTCAGCTTTCTGGGCCTTTCTATTGGAGACAGCTCTACGGTACCCTGGGTACCAGAAGCTTACTGATCTCATCTCATTCTCATCTACCTACCTACGATGGGCGCGTAGGACGAGGTATCATGTCGCGGAACACTGCTGCAACTGTTCATCGCCGATTTCCTGGGGACATGCTGTCAATGGTGCATCCTCTACTGATCTTGCTCCTGTTATAACTCACTGAACTGATACCAAAAGTACCCAGTGATGATGCCGAGGATTTACTGCTGCTCTCTCTCAAGTTTTGATAGCTCCAAAAAAAAAAAAAAAACAGTTTCGAAGCGGGACCTGAGCTACCCCGTCATAGCTATCCTAGGAGCAATAGCTATCGATGAGTTGAACAAACTCACCAATTTGTAAATCTAGCCACCTACTGTGTAGACAACATGAGACATACTGCAAACCTCCTTCCAGAGACACCTAATGGATTTAGTTCCCACGGTCTGTGATTGCACAGGTTGGGATGAGACAGGCCGTTACAGAACGTTTACAAAGTCGCGTCTGAGTTGTTATGATTAGGCGAGAAACACGCGTTGGTAGCCGTTGATCAACGCCTCGCAGGGGTGCGACTCACCACAGCAAAATCAACTGGATTACCTATGGATGGGCAGTCCCGCATTGCCTGCTTCTGATCACTGGTCAGACCTGCCATCTAGTAAAACGTAGATTCACATTGTCTCTCGTGCGCCGTGAAATGATTGTGTACATTGCTCATCCCACCTGGAAACCGAAGCTTTATATGCCAAACAATCACGAGCTGCAGTGTCAGAATTCCGTTGCTCATTCTCATGGATCAGCATCTCCTGTGAATTTACGTGAGATCAAGACTCTAGTGTCTTTCCCTGACACAAAGATTGAGTTGGATCAATTCCATACTTGATCTAGTGAATAGAGTTCCACGTCCCGTGCCTTGATACTTATTCACTCTCGAGCCTCATGAACGGCACATGTGTGCTCGTTATGAGGCCCGTCGGAGTCTTCGGTCTGGGCTCGGTGTGCCGTTTACAATGGGTGCTCTGCAACAACACCATGCCGAAGGCGATTCTGTGGCCACGAGTGTGTAGGAGGCCCTATTGACTTGACTTGATGTACGTGGTGCAGATGGGCATGTCTTTCATCAACACATTTGGGTATTGTGTACTCTTCGTATGCTGATATGCTTGTCAAGACAAGCCCGTCACGCTGTCTTCAACATAGGAACGGGTGAGCTCTGCAAATCGATAAGGTATCGTGCGAGAGCTTCTCGTGCCTCTAGGGTAAACCATCGCAAGCTGGACACCAGTGGTGGACGAGTACCGTGTGGTCGTCCAGTCGGAGCTACACCTCCCGAGAAAGACCAGAGGATGGGAGTCTAGATGGATGTCCGACACCTCATTCTAAGGGCCTCAGAGAAATGGTGGCCGCCTGAGCTCCGTAGAACACGGGCAGTTGTCAAAGAATAGAACAGCATCATGCCCGAAGTCCCAGGCGTCCGTACAAGTGTTTGCTTCTAGTGCGTCAATGTAAATGCTTGCTGGATGACGGTGAGCCTTTGAATGACTTCTGTGGGAGATGCTTCTTAATAGCCAAGGCCACATTGCTTGTGAAAACTCTCTAGGTGCCCAGTGAGTCTTGACGAGAGCATCTGGCTTCAAGCAGGGCTTTTCTGCTTTCCAGTAGTTGCCAGCGCATGAAGACCTCTCAGGCCAGGAGACAGTTGGTTCAGGGTCATTTACAACACCACCGGTGATGATGGTGCCCCAGGCTGGTGAAGAGCTAGAGCCGTTGCCCACCAAGCAGGTTTCTGGAACTACCTTAGGTACAAACGGCGTTGACGGAGTATTACAGGGAAGCACCGAGGGATAGGTCCAGTCTCTTGTGGACGAGAGAGCACACTGGGTAAGGTGACCTTGGACTGTTCGGACATGAAAACAAGTCGCGGGTGTACCAGCTGAAGCGACGGCGGGGAAAAGGCGGCCACTCCAATAGTGCTGGGAAAATAGCCTCATGAGAACTGAGACTGCCCGAGAACCAGAATGGATTGCTGGGCGGCCGGTTAGAGAGCGCTCGCTGTCATCGCTGGAGCCGGAAACACGTAAACCGAGATGCTCGGTGCTGAGTGCGAGTGAGCGGGGAACCCTCCGTGCTGGACTTCTTGGGGGTCCAGCGAACACCGCCGACGAGACTACGTCCACGGTCTCATTCTTTCTGAGGCCTAATGGCTGCTGAACGACCGACACGATAACCAAGTGTGAGAAGCGCGGCAGTGGTGGGCGAGAACTCAGCACGTCAGTGCCGGGCAGGACCACCTCACTGATGATGACTGGGTTCCTGGTATTTGGCCGAAGGTACCCGTGATTTGGGAAGGGAAACACGAGGGGGGCCTCGGCTGGAGCAGGCTTTCAGCGTCCTCGGTGTCGACTCTGAAGTCAGGTTCTGAGCAGACGGGAGAATGAGATGGGTGGGCAGCCTAGAGTCCAGAGTCCATACTGGCGGCCCAGGCCAGCAGAAACGGAGTCGGACAGAGCCAGCTGCGATAACGGGGGCAGAAGCTCTGAAGTTGGCGACAATGAGGGATCTTCAGGCGAAGCAGTGGGGAAAGGCCTGAGAAGATGGCCGCTGTCGGGGGAGGCAGACAGACGAGGAGAAGAACGAGAAGTTCCCGGGGACCAGAGCGAGTTGAGAACGGCGGGGGGTGCGGAAGAGTACGGTGATGGATGGGGTGCCGCCGCTGCTGCTGCACCTGGGAGTCCAGGACTTGAGGTGATCTGTACGTGCCCAGTCAGTTTCAGGCAGACATAGGCGGGGATAGGCACCCGAGTCCCCAGAAGCCTTGCTGCTTTTACAGCCTGGAGGGCACAGCACTGTGAACCTGTCAAGCCGGCGACGGAGGACAGTCCGACTGACAGAGGGAGAGGAGTGAGGGATCACAATCAGTGAGTAACGGGAGGTGGATGAGGGGAGTCAGAGATTGTCGGTCGGGGATGGGGGCAGTGCAATCACCGACGGGTTCTAAGGTACGGTACGGAGTAAGGTACCTACCTACCTGAGGAATCCCATCCCCCCGGTCATTGTTTTCCCCCCCTTGTGCACAGAATGCAGGCACGCTGTGGGCGTTGTGCTCTTTTCCTCACGAGGCCCACGGGTAGCTTGGGAAAACGGGCGGGACCCGACGCTCGCTCGCTGGCACTGGGCAGAGAGGCGAGTGGGCGCCCCCGATTGCAGGGCCCTCATTGGGCGACAGGGCATTACCGCTAAATGATGGGGAGGCGAGGTGTGTGTGTGTGTGTGTCATGGACGGTGCACGCCGCAGGTTCACACACAAGAAAAATGTGGGCGCCCGCCGCCGAAAATCAGCGATCGAGGGAGGAAGAAAAGGGTGCAAAACTCCAAGGCATGCCGTCACCATCCAATACCACGTCGCTAAAAGTACAGTGAGAGTACCGCCAGAGCATCACAGCGACAAGCAGCGCACCAGATAGCGCGATTGGGGCACTACAGTGTCCGCAACGACCACGAATAAGCCATGCAGATGCTCAGAACAGGTCGGGGATCAATATAGTAGCAAGAAAAGCATAGCCTTGCTCCCAAGAAAGAGGATTACTCGACGACCAGTTAATTGACTGACAATAGCAAAGTACAGCAAAGAGACAATCCACGAGGCTCGATATATACTCAGGTCGAGTCCAGTTGTGCTGGGCGGCAATCAACACGAGCGCCGATGCCGAGGGGGGGGAGCTGATGGCCAGCGGTACCTTTTGTAGGTACCTTTTTCGGTGAGGTAAGGTAACTAACCTACCGTAGGTAAGGGAACGAGGAGAGGAATGGCGGGACGCAGAGAAAAAGCTTGTAGACCGTAAGGTACCTACCTACCTTACTTATCCTAAGGTAAGGATGGTATGGATGACATGTGGCCTCTCTGGTGTTCAAATTGTCACTCTCTTCTGATGCCTCTTTCGTGTTTTGGCGGCCGGTGCTGAGTGGGCTGGCGCTGTATCATCTCTTTGCGTGAAAGTGTTCGTTTATTTTGCTTCATGGCTCTGGTAGAGTGGATTAAAGTGTCCCATCGGCCGTCATTGACAGTGGAAAACGCTGGAAGCCCTGGGCTGCCCTGGGAGTTTACAAGGTCTGGTAGAGGCAATGTGCTTACCACATTTGTGCACAAAAAGATGATGCTGAGAATGGCATAACCTCTCCAGCAGCCAGCTGGCTTGGCCAGGCGCGCTGAGGTGGGCGAGACTGATCGGGCCAGGCTGGAGAGGAGCCTTTTCGTTTTCCATTACTGATTAGCAGCGCTGCGGTGGATGCATCCCCTTGAGTGTTGCAGGGGTGTCGGGCAACTTTTTTTTTTTTTTTTTTCACGCGTCGCATGATGTGATTGAGGGAAGGTGCCAAAGGTACATGAGCTGCTAAGGTAGGTAGGTACCTTGCCTCAAGGCTCAGAGGCTCAGAGGGTATTTAATATTGGCGCAGAGGGAGTGTGGGAATATGGGAACCAAGGTTTGCATTAGGTGGCACCAGTGTAGACAACCTACCTAAGGTAAAGTATGCAGTGAGAGACGGTAGACGTGGAGACTTTGTACTTCCCGCCCGAAAGGGACGGGAGAGGGCAGTCGTGGTTTAACGGTTTAACCGTCTGGCGGCACGGGCGACAACTGGAGCGACATCACCGCGGATTCGCCAGCAAGGTGGAAGACCGGGAAAGAGGGGGAACAAACGTACAAGCTGTGGGCTGGATCGCCTGCTGCTGCTGCTGTTGCTGCTGCTGGAGCCTTGGGGGAGAAAAAGGACAGGGCAAGAGAATGGGAATATTTTAGGTGAAAGAGAGGGGGGACAGAGCAGGCCCCCCAAAACTCGTCCAGTTCGCTTTTTTTTGGGCCGGGCAAGAGCGAAGTGCCTGAATTTTTTTTTCTCTATTCCCCTCTTCCCCTTCCCACTTGGCCCCCCCGGAAAGGTGCCAAATCACTCCCAAACCCCTCCCACCCCGTCTGCACTACATATTCGGCTCAGGCCCTCCCCCAAACCTCCCATCCCCTTCCCTCTTTTTCCCCCATTTCTTCACTTTCCCAGGCACCAAACCCCCCAAATCTCAACCGCCCTTTCCTCCCAACCTTGCGCCACTTTGTGAGTGCCAGAAAAAAACAACAACTCCACCAAACACCAGCACACCCTTTTTTTGCTTCTCGCCATCGTCGCGTCAAAGCACCACTTGATTTACAGCGCCCATCGGCCCTAAATCCTCTCTACCTCACCACAACCACCAAAAAAACACAACCATCACAATGCCTCGCCCCTCAAAGAAGGCCCTCGCCGCCACCCCCAGCGCACCCGTTGCTGCCGTTCCCGTCGCGCCTGCTCAGCCCGTGCAGCCCCTCCAGATCCCCCAAAGACACATTGATGTCGAGGGTTTCATTCGCGTCCGCGACTCGGTAAGATACACCCTTTCCACCATTCCCTCAAAACCTCAATTCTCCGCCGTCATGTTTCCCAAGCTTCACTCTCCGTTCCACCACGGCCCAGCTGGCTATCCTGGAGTCGATATCGCGCCAGTTTCTTCACTGGCTTCTACTGCCATGAGAATTACAAGCATCTGATTGTCTTGCTATTTCTTCGACGCATTTCTCGGCGTGAACTGTCAGCCGCGCGTGCTTGTGTGCTTGCTATCTATTCAGATTCAAAGCTGGCACCGCGAAAGACGAAACGGGCACATTTTGCATTTGATAAGCCAAATGTGCTCCGAGAAAATGGCAGGGGGGAAAACACGCTGCGTCAGAACGCTCGTTTTTGTTTACATGGACCAATGTGACCCCGCGTCTGCCGCGGGAGCTGTGACCCACAGAAGCTCTTCAAGCTCAGCTCAGCTAAGCTTGGCTGCCCATATCCCACTACACCTTTCCTGCTACACACTTTACGCATCTTACCACTCTTTGCTCAAGCGTATCTGATCAGACAGAATGCTAACACCACTGCCAGGTTCACCAGCGCCTCATCACCATCTTGGAGTTGATCAAGAACTTCTCCGAGGACTACTACCGCCAGACCAGCCTGCTTCTTGGCGAGTCTGCACACGAGGCTATCCCGGGCATTGACCACCCTCTGAACACCTTGGAGCATGCTGCCCAGAGCATCGCTCCCCTGGCCCTTGGTCTCCAGCCTGGTGTTGCCTACCACCCTGCCCCTGTTGAGGAGAAGAAGGAGCGCAAGAAGCGCACCCACGACCCCAATGCTCCCAAGCGCCCCCTGACCCCCTACTTCCTGTACATGCAGACCGCCCGTCCCATAATTGCGAATGACCTTGGTGATGCCGCTCCCAAGGGTGCTGTTCAGGAGGAGGGCCAGCGCCGCTGGAAGGCCATGAACCTTCAGGAGAAGGCCGGCTGGAACAACGCGTACCAGTACAACCTCCGCCTCTACCAGGCTCGCGTCCACTCCTACAAGCAGGGTGGCAACCTTGAGGCCAGAAACATGGACGATGATAGCGCTCTCAAGTACGCCGAGGAGCACAACATCCAGATCAACCCTGTTGATGTTGTCCCCGATGTTGAGGATGCCATCGCCGAGCAGCTCAACCAGGCCAACACCGTCGATGCTCCTGGTGAAGAGGAAGAGGAGGAGGAAGTCCCTGCCCCCGTCAAGACCCCCAAGAAGCCCGCTTCTACCCGCAAGCGCAAGACTGCCACTCCCGCTGCCGAGCCCGAGGCCAAGGCTGCTGCCACTCCCGCAAGCCCTGACAAGAAGCGCCGCCGCACATCCACCAAGGCCGCTGACGCCACTGAGTCAGCGGAGCCTGCCAAGAAGAGCAGAGCGAAGAAGGGCAAGAACTAAGCATTCTGCTTCATTCGACCCCCCTCCTTCTACTCATTTCTTCTTGTTTCTAGGTTTCTGGGTTTTTTGCAAAGATGATACCTCGTTGCGCGGCGGCTTGTCGCTGATCCTTACCCCCTTCACTGTCCCTATGTTGGCGCAGATATACACGGGGGTGTGAGGTTCTGAACTGGAGGGGGAAAAAAGGAAGGACCACATCTACTTCGGTCCTCTGTCGTTGCGTGTGCCTGCTGCGCGCGAACGCGGTGTGTATGATTTCACAAGGCGTGTGGTTTCGGGACGGTTTTTCCAACGGACACAATACGCGTGAGAGAAAGAAAGGAATACAAAACTCCCGACTTGAGTGTGGGCGGTTTATGGATCCAATGGGCTTTCGGTTTGGGCTGGCTCTGCTTGTTTTCCAGTTAGTCCTGTATGTATAATGACGGACATGAGAGAATCAAACAATATTGATCTTCATATTGACAGTGCTTGCCTCCGATGAAGAATGTGACATGTATCGTGACGAGGTCTAGTGTGTATCTTCTTGCCCTGAGAAGATAGCCTCATGGACCAGTGTATGCGGAAGGAGTCTGAAGCAGAGACACTTCTGCCCAGGTCTATTGTACGGCAAAGTCAAGAATTCAACACGTCCAACTGTCACATTGATGTATTCAATGTTCAATCAAACTCTAGACGCCCAAGTACGCAGAAACGCTCACCCTGTTGACAATATCTTTGTACGTAAATTACGTTTTTGTTGCAGTATAAAGTAGTAGATACGTTTCCGTTCGAGTTACCAAAAGAAGTTGATACATCTCACCTATCGAAGTTCGCTGCTCGACAAGTCTGAAAACAATCAGACGCCCAAGCACGATTCTACGTACGTCCCTTGCACACATAGTCCATGCATGGACGCGTACATGCGACGCGCGGATCGTCGAATCTGTCCGTCGACCCTGGAGGCTTTTGGGGGAAACGAGAGAGGGTGTTGGCATTACTCTATCAGAACGACAGCCAAGACTTTTTCTTAAGCGCCCCCCCCCCCCCCCTCATAACACTCTGACACTGTACTGCATGCTTCTGATGTTCTGGTTTTTTAGTCATGAAATAGAAAATGCTGTTGCTTTTGCTTTTTTGGAAACCTTTCATAACCTAGCCAAGGTAAGGTGGCTTCTCTCATATGTCATTAATAATAAGCACCGCCCGATATCCCGTCCCAACTACCCGCCCGTATGCCGCTATGCTTTGAAATGTTTCTTCCCTTCCCCCTCACTACGACGTGCCCTCTCATCGTACTTTCATCTTCTCATCAACGCCAAACCTCTCAAATACTCTGTTGGTGTCCATCCCATCAACACCAGAAAAGTCCGCCGTCGTCGTCATCATCATCACGCTCAGTAGACGTAGAACGCCTGCGTCAAGGGAAGCGTATCAGACGGCTC